AAAATATGGCGAATTTATAACAAGTTCGTAAAGGTTTAAAAAAGCCGTTATGAATTTCAAACAGTTTTGAATATTCAATTTCAGAGAAAGTGTAAAGATTGGGGAAAATAAGTATTTTTTTATATACATCCCATACCCACATCTTATATAACTATTTTTCTAAACTGTCGTATATAATATTTTAATTCGCAATTGCTCACTATACGATATTTAAAAATTGATTTTAGTTTATCTTTTAAGTTAGGCCTATAAATATCGCGCTACCTTAAGAACGTTGATAGGAAAATGAATTAATACACATATATTACAATCTCTTGTAGCATTATTGGTATTTGAATAATACAGTTTTATTATGTTGCATTTTTCATTATCAAAATTAAATTAAACTAATTAAATAATTAATTTTTAATTAAATTAAAATAGGTTATTCTGACAATGATCAAAACCATGTATGTTTAAATTAAAGGAAGGTTCGTTTCGCTCAGTTTTGCCTGATGGTATGCTTGAGACACTATAGTGTGCGAGATAGAGTGATTGTGTCGTCATAGAGGGCTTCTCTCTCTCTCTCTCTCTCTCTCTCTCTCTGCTGTCTTCAAAAGTCTATAGGGCTTATCTCTGTAAAGGATTATGATTGATGATTTTAAGCTTTTTTATTAATCTTTATTCAACCATCCTTTGAGGTTCCAATAATTTTATTAAATAAAATTTTAACGAATATTAAATGTAAGGAACTTTTCTTCATGAAATTTTGCATTATTTAATTTTTTTACACCCTGCGTCACAAATATGAGCACTGCCAATGGCATTCGTACCTATCTGGAGAAAACAACAATAAGGGAGTAGTACCCGTGTAAGGATACACGGTACTGGTTAGCCATATTTATTTACCGGCACGTTAACTGCATTCTTTTACATGATAAAATGCAGAATATTCAATAAAAAATATATGATTCGCTACATTTTTACACAACCTGTATAATGCAATTTTTTTGACATAGGTGTTAATATCGTACCAAATTGGATGTCGACACACAAATCTAAAAATGTAAATTTCATGTTTTCGAATACTTCCTTTTCAAGGAGGAATTCATATAAAATAAATAGTTAATTAGGTAAATTCATAGTTTTAATTCTAACTTGATTGATTTTATTTAACATTTAACACAAATATGATTTCGAAACAAAAGATAAGTTTCACATAACTCTTCAATTACATAGTTAAATACATTAAATTTATATGTAAGCCCAGTTATTACTTCTACTGCCGAGTAGAAGAGCTACCACCATAGTTAAGATATACTATGGTTACCACGCTAAATTTTATTGTTGGATGCCAGCTCAAAAGAGCCTGGATTCTTTTCGGGTTGCCAATGTCCAGCATTTATTACGCAGGACAGTTAATTTTACATTGTATTGTATACATTTCAGAGAAAATCTAATTTGACAACCATTTACATAATTTAGGTAATAATGATTACCAACTTAGAATGCCTGCCAACAAACCTCCATCTTTGTTTAGTTGTATCTTGTCACCTTATTGTTGATCTTCACTAAAAGAGCTGCTGCCCCAAATGTTGTTTGAACAATTTTTATATAAATTTCATGCAAAAAGCCTCTGCCTTTAAATTTAAAGCCATTATCTTCCTGTTTAGAGCTGTTACCCCTTAATATTTTCAATTAGGACAGTTTTCTTACCTACACTTTTTACTTTTAAAGTTAAAATTTCAGACTCCGTTAATTTATCCCAGTATATTGATGATTCAATACTATTCGGATTGGTACCTTTTAGTACCATATATATATATA